TTGATTTGTTTTGTTAGTTTAATGGTGTATGTTTAGAAAGCACTTATAAGGCTACCAATTCAATAAAATGTATTGTATTTTTGTATAGCCCTAAATCACAACAGCAGCCACCTCAGGACTTTACAAAGTTGTTGATTCACAAAAACAAAACAAAAATCAGTAAAATCAATAAACGACAAATTATTTGGCTAACTTTAGGGTTGGATTGACGGAAAGGGATACCTTGCAGTGGGAAGTATCAAGAGGCCAGTACATTTGAAATTCATGTTATCTTAAGTATTGCGATTGGTTGCGACATCACCACTTTCCAAAGAGCCTATAGTTTAACATCGTGTTGGAAGGCAGATGAGAAAATCCTTCCTGGTGATTATAGTTACTGTCAAGCCAGTTTCTTGACTTCATTTAGATATATTATATCTGAAATTTCTTGAACCATCAACATGGAAAAGTTCAACATCTCAGCACAAACATCGACTCTTGGCCTAATTAATTTTTCAAGTTTTCTTGAAGTATTCAAGTATTTCTTGAAGTGACAATATTCAAAAACCTTTGTGTATAATGTCACAAGCTGGAGAGAGAGGAGTTAGTCAGTGACACATATTTATGCATGGGTGTGCCCAATCACTGGGTCCTGTAGAATGGCCTCCGGTCTCCGCGTGCCATGTCAACATTTGCTGTGTGGTCATTTGGCGGCTCGGGAGCTGATTTCACTGCCCAGAAACACAGACCGGACCCTGAGCTTGGTTTACTCACGTGGGTCAGAGCAGAGACACTCAAGCCTCCAGAACCAGCCAAAACCCTCATTGCGAGAAACGTGAGGGGATTAGAAAATGTTTAGAAGATAAGTTTGTGCATGTGCAGTAACTATGCCAACACTCCAGGAATAGCACCAATGACAAATAGACACTCGATTTGACAATACTGGGATTGAGATTTGGTTGAAAGTTTATATGTTAAGAGCTTGGGATCAAATTGGTTCCAGGAGGGGTAGGTGGAAACTCCCCCAATCAGGATAGAGTCAAGTAGAATAGAGCAGAGTAGAGCAGAGCAAAACAAGTTTCCACATGCTTTGGGCGTCACAGTGGCTGAGTGGATAGCACTCTTGCTTCTCAGAAATAAGTTTCTGGGTTCGAGACCCGGTCGGAATAGGGCTTTTCTGAGTGGAATTTGCATGTGTCTGCGTAGGTTTCTTCCGGTTACTCCGGTTTCCCCTACGACTAAAAACATGTACAATAGATTCAGAGTGAATGTGTGTGTGTGTGAGTAAGTGCGAATATAGGACAGCAGATGTAAATTAGCCCATGGCTTCAATCCGGAGAGGTGTGTTCATTAATATCCACAACAACAACAAAAAATGACACGTTTTAAGGTTTGCCAGCTTTAAAATAAAAAATGGAATAAATAAAATACTAAGAGGAAATAAGTCCCATTCACAAACTAGACCAAACTGGTACAAAACAATGATGGCAAGATTTTCCATTTAAACTTTCTTTAAACTAAGTTTACAATAGTTCAAAAGCCACAGTGATGCATACATCTATCGAGATGCACTCCAAGTCTAATCACTCTTGGATCTAAATTGCCAGCCTCTTTCCAAATAACTCCACCAGACAAGTGCCTCTCCAACCGTCTCCTCGGCTCCCATATTGTTATTATTTTCTCTATTTACCGCCACAATTGCATCCTCGTCTCTCACCGTCCTGTCTACAAGCACCTCTCGTGTTCTGCAAGAGCACTCGGTCCAACCTGTTTTCCTCCACTCTCTATCAAGATCAAAGTCGTTTATGACATCTCCCTTAAAGCCATCCACACGCTCTAATTAGCAAGGTGTGAATAAGCCCGTGCCGTCGCCATCGAAACGGTAAAAAAAGATCGGTAGAGTTTTTTTAAGTTTTCTCCTCCCCACGGCGAGACTAATTAAGCAGAATAGAATGCAAAATGGAAAGGGTCAGGCTGGAGTTGTTTTATCTCAAGTGCGACAAGCTTTTGTGGTGGAAAACACAAGATAGGGTTTAGAAATGTTCTCAGTAAGGAAAATCTGTTTTGCTTAAGGGATCCAATTCACTGTAGTATATTCATTAAAAATGTTATATATGTTCCCAGATAACAAGTCGCCATAGTTGACCTTTTCTTAAACTGGAGTCACTCTTAATAAAAAAAAAAACAATGGACATAGTATTTTTGTTTACAATTTTCCAGCAGATTATCCAATCAGAGAGCAGAATGGTTTCTCATTTGGGCTGCTGTTTTTTAAGGTAAAATTTAGTTGGTCTTGGCTCTTATCTTATTCGTTTTGTAAGAACATAATTCACACACATTAAATGGCACCACAAGTGTGTTTAAATGAAAGCCATTACACAAAAAAGTTGTCATACAGTAGTAGTCAATACATAGGTTATACTGTTTTTAGTTAAACCCCAGCAGGTGGATTGCATCAGTAATCAGTGCTACCTAGCTAAACTTGCTAAAAAACAAAAGAGTGATTGTAATTGACTTTATTAGAACACATTTGCTTGTTACATACTCTTGCTTTAAAGCTGGGGTACCTACGTTTTCTTTCTCATATAATAAAGAGCATTATATTTAAAGTACTGAGAATCAACATATCTTATAATGTGCAAGAGCGAGAGGTCTCCTCTATTTTGTGTTTATCGCATTTTTGAACCAAACTGCTCAAATGTAGTAATTTCAAAGTTAGGTACACAGCTTTAAATCTTGTATTTTCGTATTCCAAAGTTTAATCACAGCTTCACAACCTGTTAACAGAATGTACCAAAAGGCCGTTGTTTCGTGGTACACCTCACTAACACTCATCATTGACTCAACGTATGTTGCACTTTTCTCGTGTCTGTAGCGATTCCAAACCTCAAATTGGCCGTAGACGGACCGTGTAATTGACCCGGAACCCTGGCAACCACACCACTCTCCCCCGGTAGCCCGCCGCGCCGCATCTTGTATAAATAAAACATTTATAGTCAACTCAATTAGGCCGCGCCTGTTGAGCCGGTGGCAGCTGTGATCAGCAGATGTTTGCACAGGACTTGTCACCAACAGGAAGTGAAAGGAAAGCGTTTTACTCCAATAACAGAAGATTTATTCTAGTTTTTGGTTTTGTTTACTGCAGGATCAAAGTACAGAAATTAATAACATTTCAAATTATAAAGCTTTATTTCCCATTTCAAAATGTTTGTCTTGTTACAATTTATCCCCAGATTCATACCTGAATATACTTCATCAACTTATCGTATATAGCAATCTATCTTTTGTTATTGGACATGATGGTCATCTTTGGGTCCTTCTTCAAGTGCCTTCTTCAAGTGGAGGAGTTCAACATCTCAGGTCATGTGCAGCGGCCGCTGTATCAGTACTGGCACACAAATGAGTTTCCTCTGCAGGGTGGCTGGGTGCTCCCTTAGAGATAGGTTGCAGAGCTCAGTCACGCGGGGGGATCTCGGAGTAGAGCTGCTGCTTCTCCACATCAGGGGGAGCATATTGAGGTGGCACATGCATTTGTTTGGGATGCCACCTGGACATCCACTAGTCTCCTCCTGGTTGGAAACCTGGAACATCTCCTCTTGGTATGTCCCACCAGGAGGAGACAAGGGGAAGGACACATTGGAGGTTTCTCAGCTGGCCTGGGAACGCCTTGGGAAGTCTGAGCAGAGACGCCACGACTTCCTCTAAAGTGAAATAAAAAGAAATAATTGGTTACAGTTCACATATTAGGTTACATGAATGTCTTCTTATTCTTCTGGATTCTGGATTTTGATGCCTTAATGGTTCTTAGTATGTTCTTGCAAAATTCTTATATTATATACTATACTATATTTATCAAAACCAAGACTTTTTATTTTTTAGTAATTAACCTAAAAAGATTTGAGTAGTTCCGTTATGCAAACTGATGACTGTTGACATTGATTCAAAAAATCCAGGCTCAAATAGTATCAGTATCTTTTAGAAATGCAAATACATTGAGTGGAAAGCCCTCTTTTTCATGAATTTGCTTGTATGTATTTTACTGTTGTCAAGACGGACTTCTTTAGACAACTGTATATTTTTGGTCTTTAAAACCCTGTTTCTTTGTGTTATTTCTCTGATTGGTTTTTCTGCCTGTCAATTAGGAAAGCCTGTGTACTGAACAGCTTTTGTTAGTCTTGGCCTCCTCCTCAATGGTGGAACCCACAAGGAATTACAGTATGTGAAGGTCTGAGTAGTCAATAAAAACAAATCATAGTAATGCACAGATGGGAGGGGAGTCTCTCATGTGAAATGGAAAAACATTCTATTTCTTTGCAGCTAAATTTAAGATCTTAAGCACACAGAGACTCAAAAAATATGTAGGAGGTATAGACATAAATGCTAAATAGTAAAAAGAATAAAGAGTCCATCTGCTTTGGGCTTTTCTCTTTGCTCACACCTCAGAGTAAAAGCAGTAACACAACACAAACAGTGTATTCTTTCCATATGTTTGTAATGGAAGAAACCCACTTGAATTTCAGCACCACAGACAGCACCATATGCAGTTACATACAGTTACGTGTGCAGTGATGTGGACCCTGCAATGGTGTGTAAACTGCGCAGCGTCTGCAGTTAATCTACTTGTCCACCCTCACCCATAAAGCGGAAGAAAGTGTGTGCATTTTACCAACTCTCTGTTTTATAACAACATTCATTAATTTTCATTCATTCATTCATTATTTTCCCCTTTAATAGTCCATTATTGGGTCGGGGTGGTGACAATCAGAGCTGTCACCCAAAGCTCATAGCACCAGTCCCTCGCTGATCTTCCTGCAGGTGGTGGGTCTACAAGAAGATGTCTGCTTGTAACAACATTCTTAGAATAATTTTCAGATGTGATCTCTGTTGATGTTATTACTACATCTATTAAACAGTTAGAATCATGTTATGTCTTCTCTAAAGCCTGCTCTATATCTATTCAAACCATTCATGTCCTTGTCTCTTTGACCCTGGTTGACATTGTGAGATCTCCAAGTTTTCACATGACCTCTCTCTGTAGCCGCAGCGTTCACATCTTTTGTCATGGTCCATTTGCCTCGTCTTTATTTTGGTCCTAGGAGATCCATGTACTGTATTTGTGAAGCTCTGAGATGATGCTCTCTCTCATAAACGTGTTGTAAGATTTGAGTGTCGATTGGAAGCCAGACTGCAGAAACTTTGACTGCATAATAATGATAGAAACAAATTGGTTTGGATATCACTTTTTGAGTCTCAAAGGGGAGATTGGAAAAATTCAAGTAGGCATAAGTACCTATGTCCACCCAACTCTCAATAAGCCCAAAATGTCATATGACTCAGAGGGCAAGTTTGTTATAGTAGACAGTATAGCAATGTTTACTTTTCTCCCACTGAGCTTTTATTAACGTATGAAAGTTACTTAATAAAAAACAGAATATTTTTCTATCTATTTATTGATGTTTTTTGGTTGGGACATGTATGGTAGTGAACACACCTGCCCGTATTGTTGCCATGGGCTAAGTTGCATCCGCGAGCAAACTCCACACAGAAAGGCTTAGAAATGGAATTGAACCCTGGACCTTCTTGCCATTAGAAAATAGCAAGTAATAAAGCGCTGTGAGTCACTATTTGGTACTTTTGGCTGAGAGCTGGTTTGCTGAGTGAAGGTGGTCCTCTTTTTCACTTTTTTGTCAGAAAAAGCTGATCCAAAGGTGTGACAAGGCCATCAATACATGTTTGCAAAAAACAGTGATAGAAGCAAACTGTTTTAAGACTATAGAAAAAAACTATAAATAGATAGAATTTAGTATTCAGTTCCATACTAAGTTACACAACTTTTTTATTATCTCTAGTCCACCAGGTAGTAGTGCTTAATTCCCCTGCTTATTCTGTCTGGATGGGTCTAATGTGTACCTGCATCAGAAGTATTTCATTCACTCCACACTATGCTCATCCATCTTCGATTGTTTGTTTATTTGGTGTTCCAATATTTGCAATCCTCTATCTTCCAGTGGAGGGCTGCACGGACTGGTCGGTGGACTACAAAAAGTACCAGGCACTGCTTGGAGAGCCGGTGCGGATCCGCTGCGCCCTGTTCTACGGCTACATCCGAGCTAACTACAGCCTGGCCCAGAGCGCGGGCCTCAGCCTCATGTGGTACAAGAGCACTGGACACGGGGACTTCGAGGAGCCCATCAGCTTTGACGGGACGCGCATGAGCAAAGAGGAGGACGCAATCTGGTTCAGACCGGCCGAACTGGAGGACGTGGGCTACTACTCTTGTGTGCTGAGGTAAGGACAGGGCTGTAAGGGTAGTCCATTGTGAATGTAACCAAGCCTTTGTCTGTCCCTGCTCCGATTTGAATGTCATTTTATATAGTGAGTTTATATAACAATTATCTTGTCTCTATAGCCCTATTCAGTCTCAAAATATGAGTGATGATATAATATTTAGTACCAAACTTGTTTTTGTCAGTTTCATAGTACATTTTGCTGTTTGTCTCAACATTTGTTTTTGTTCGATTCAATTCAATTTCATTATTAAAGCTCTGAATTGCAACATTACTTGATAAAGCGATGTAAAAAAA